GCAAGACGTCCGGACATCCTCGCACACACTGCCCGAATCAGCAGCAGTCGACATCGCCGCAACGTCAACTTCGGCCCTCAAGCAGTCAAATAGCTTCTACGCAGGCGCATCCCACCAATAAAGTACAGTCTTCAACGTCTTCAACGACACAACCTGCACAAGGAACAAGAAACATCGTGAGCTGCATGACAAGAACAACAGACTCCTGCATCACCGGATCACCACCCCACTACTCACCAGAAGAACAGCTCGACGAGAGAACTCCTCGCCGCGAATCACTGGAGCCCAACCCAACGTATGCAGCCATCGCCCAGAGCGAGCCGTCCGGGAAAGACACTTGGTTCTTGGACAGCTGCTCCGGACAGCACATGTGCTCCTCGGGTCGCTTCTTTCAACAAAAACATCAACTTCAGCGCGAAGTCGTAATCCCCGTCGCGAACAACCAGAACCTGCACATACGACGACAAGGGATCGTGAAACTTCAGTGCCGAGAAACTAACGTTATCTTACAAATGTCTAAGGTTCTAATTGCAGAAGGACTCGGCTACAACTTACTCAGCGTCAGTCAACTGATGGCGAAGGGTACTCATTTCGAAGCAGACAGCACCACTCAGGAGTTCAAGTTATTCCACGGAAAGGGCAGACTCTACATTGGCAAGGCAGTCTTCGTTCTTGACTTTGTTCCGGACCAAGGTACCGCCGACAGCGACGCCATCGTCAACTTCACTTCTTGGACACATCCACCCGACCTCGATCCCGACTTCAATCCTGGAGGATTTTGGTATTCACATACCATACCTGAAGCAGAAAGAACACGGGCATCAGCAACAATCTGGCAAGAAGAGATAACATCGACAGCAGCAGCAACTGCATCAACAGCAGCAGAGACAACATCGGTAGCAGCCGCAACACTTACGGCACCAATCGCGGGCTCTTCAACGGCACCAGTCCTCATCGACGACACTCCACCAACTCCTGCGCAGCAGATAGCTCCCACTCCATGCAAAGTTCACAGAAGCACCAAATTCACCGCGGGTTTTTACTCCAACTCCGACCTATACAGGCGCTCACCCGGACATCGTGCAAGCGAATCACTGAGGCACGAACGATTAGGTCATCCAAGCGACACCACGTTAAACAACACAATCAAGGCGGCTGTACTCGACAAAGACTCACTCCTTCTACCTTACGACAGAGAACTCCAACGAGTTCGAGGCACATGCTTTACGTGCCCCGAAGCTGACTTACCTCATCAACCATTTGTCTCTCACCACAATCCAAGCGCGCCAGCCTATACACCACTCGAGAAAGTATACAGCGACATCCTGTATACTCGCGAACAAGGACAGCAGCTGCTGTTACGACTTCTGCGCGGTCTAGAGCTAGGAGTGGCAGGAGGGGCGGCCAGGGTGCGGGCGGCAGCGGAGGCGGCGGAGATGGCGTTGCGGGCGGCGGTGGCAAGAGTGCAGGAGTTGGTGGAGCATACAGCTACATGATTACTTTCATCGACGCCGCCACCCGTTACGTCTGGCACCTCAACCTCCCAAGTCGCGACATGGCCTTCGAAGTCTTCATCGCCTGGCTACCTGTGGCAGAACGAGAATCGGGAGCAAAGCTGAAAAGCTTCCAGTCTGACGGAGGAGGGGAATATCAGTCACAAAGGTTCAGACAGTACCTCGCAGAACGAGGCATCAAGCGACTCATCTCGCTTCCCTACGCCCATCAACAGCAAGGCGTGGCAGAACGGATGAACAAAACTCTCCAGAACACCATGCGCAACTATTGCGTGGCATGCGACTTCCCAGCCACCAGTGGCCTGAGGCGATGGACCACGCTGTCATGCTGCACAACTTGCTCTCGTCATCATCGCTCCCGAACAACGCATCACCGCACCTGCTCTGGACAGGAAAATTGGGCAACACAAAAGTGTTACGATTTTTCGGGTGCATTACCGACCGCACACTGCGAGAGCCGGAAGATTTTCTCAACGTGCACAGTGGGGACTACACCTGGGCATCGAAAAGCATTTCAACACATGGAAGATTTTCGACATCCACTCGAAGGAAACAATAGCAGCACATGATGTCATTTTCTATGAGCGACTCACTCTTCAAACGTACCTGGACAACCTGGCAGCAAATCGAGACCTCACGGGCAGCTTCCGTGGCAACCGAGCTTTCGCTTCATCCGCAGACGAAGCTGACTGGGACGAGCAGAACGTGGATGGAGCTTCGGAAGAAGCCGGACCTCTTCCGTACTGCTCTGTGAACATCCCCATGGACGACGACAACCCTCGCGAAAGTGTCAAAGACGAAACCTACTTCGACTTCGCCGACACCGGTTACGTTACACCCCAACCGGTCGACACCAACATCTCCGAACGCATAGGACCAAATTTCTTACCGGATCCAGAAGCGGGAGATGAAGCAGCTTATCCGGAGGACACAAATCTCCCCCGCTACACACAAAGATGACTGCAGATACTGGGACTCGTCACCGCTGTCCACGGAGCAGCACCACCTAAGGAGCCTGCCAACATTCAGCAGGCTCTGGGGGGGGAACATAGGGAAAAATGGCGCGAGGCCATGGACAAAGAGTTAAAGGCGCTGCAAGAACGCAACACCTGGAAAGTCGTGCCTATCGGAGTGGCACGCAACAAGACCATTCTCACGGGAAAATGGGTTTTCCGCGTGAAAACAAAAGCCGGCGGAACAATCGACAAATTCAAGGCACGTTGGGTCGTGCGTGGCTTTGACCAAGAACAAGGACGAGACTTCACGGAAACATTTGCACCAGTAAGCCGACATACCTCACTGCGGATTCTCCTCACGATAGCCGCCATGAACCGGAAGAAACTTCGGCAAATCGACGTCGCCAATGCATTCCTCTACGCCCCCGTCGATGGTGAGATCTTCGTCGAACTCCCACACGGGTCTAATGCAGACCCCAACCAAGTCTGTCAGCTGGAAAAATCACTGTACGGCATCAAACAAGCCCCGAGACTGTGGCAGCAACATCTTCACGCCCGCCTAATCCGCATCGGATTCCTCCAACTACCGCACGACCAAGGGATGTACCGACTTACGAAGGGTACTAACTACATCCTACTCATCGTCTACGTAGACGACCTCCTCTACATAGGCTCCACCGACGCCATAACGACCTGGTTTGAAGGGGAGCTGCAGCAGGATCTCACACTCACCGTCGCGACTACTGTGACACAGTACCTGGGACTGAACTTTCAAGACGGCGACAACGCAATCTACCTCAGCGCCGAAAAGTACACGGACACTATCGCTAAACGATTCGGACTCACTCCAACCATCATCTCCACGCCATACCGCTACAACGACGGAAACCACAAAGTCTCCGCCCTACTCAAGCCCGCCGACATCCGCAACTATCAACGAAAGTCAGGCTGCCTACTCTTCGCAGCCGTTACCTGCCGACCGGATCTATCCTACTCAGCTAGTCAACTCGCTACCTACCTCAAGAAGCCTTAAGCAGAGCACATGCTTGAACTCGACCGAGCACTTCACTACCTCATCAGCACTCCGACGATCGGACTAACCTACCACAAAACCGGAGCTACAACACCTAAGTTAATCGGCCACGTCGAAGCCGATCACGCTGGAGACCCCGACAACAGACGATCTCGAACTTGCTACATCTATAGACTCGAACCTATCGGCCCTATCTCATGGCAGTCGAACAAGCAAGAGCTAATCGCTCTCTCCTCAGCAGAAGCAGAATATATTGCACTCTGCTCAGCCACCAAGGAAGGGCTATATCTTCAAGAATTGCTGGAGGAAGCAAAGTTGGCTCAGTTACCCAACTTCTCCCTCTTCTGCGACAACCAATCGGCCATTCGCATAGCGAACAAGAATGGATTCGCGAATCGAACGAAGCACATCGCCCTCCGGTACTTCTTCGTAAAAGACGAAATCGAGAAGGGAAGACTCGAATTATCCTACTGTCCCACATCCGAGATGGCAGCCGATTACTTGACCAAGAAACTCGGAAAACAGAAGTTCGAGTACTGCATGCTGCTGACTGGACAAGGACACGTCATCAGCAGCGACACTCCAGAAGCGAAGGGGAGTGTTGGAAACAAGCAACTTAAATGCTTCTGAAGTATCGAAGTATCGACACGAAACGAAGCAAACTACAGTGAAGCAATACGAGTCAACAAAAGCAACAGCTGGAGGTTACGAGAAGGTCAAAGGTCACTAACCTTTGACTCGACGAAAAATACAGTACGACAGCAAGGACACATAACTGACTCGATACTGAGCAGTTACCCAAGTCGGCACTGTATCGAGCCGCAACAGCAAAACAGTTAAAGTAGAACTTTTCGTATTCCTTTGTAATCATATAAAAACCTTGTTCTCTGCTATTATCAACTCATCTTGTTCTCACACACCAGTACAAGGTGGTTCAGCAACTCTGATATTAAAACGCTTCCGCAAACTACAACATCCCTACTTCAACCACAGATCTTAGCCTTGAAAGATCCTAAGGGCTTTTCTCAGCCCAACACCCAGATGCACATTCTCTGCCAAACTCTTCAAACCCGTATTGTACGTGCTGCTGCTGCTCTGGTTCTCATGCCATCGCTCGCGGCGCCTAATGCAGAGGCAAGTTGTGAGCCTTACTGCTTTGGTGAGTATTTTGGCATCTGTAAGTGCTACTGCTACATGAAGCGAAATGATTCCGCTATTGAGAGACATTGCAACATCTGTGGCAATCAGACCGCGGCAGGCACTGAGCATAGCACTGCAGCCCAGTGCCTTGGTCGGCTTAGCTGTATGTCTAGTACCAAACCACTTTTGATATGAACGGGCAAGCTCAGCAGGGGACAAGGGTCAAGGTCAGCAGCGGACAACAAGAGGAAGGCTTGTCAAATGATTCACATACATGGAGGGGCCTGACCTGACTCCTGAGGGAAACACTGACACAAGTGGGCGAGCACTGACACAAGTGGGCGAGCACCGACTTGCTCATACAGTATACAGTACATACAAGGGATACCCGTATTGGGGAACCGTTGCCTGCCAAGGGTTGAAGCCCGACTTGGCAACGAGGCTGGAGCCGCCAGAAGCTGTGTTCATGCGCGACGTGGGGCACGCCAAGGCAAACTTGTATGTCTTCTTGTACTCGCCCGCCCTTGTCTTGGCGGTGTTCTTGGCTGTGTACGTGAGCCACGCCTCCGATGCCGCCACGCCTGCCGTGATGGGCAGCGCCGGGAAGTCCTGCTCCCACACAGCAGCCCGGGTGCCGGCCTTGATGCTGGTGGGCAGCACAACGAAGCGGCCCTGGGTTGCGGTGCTGGCGGTGAGAGTGAGGTCTAGGGTGCTGCCGGAGTTATCGATGACGGCATACGACGAGTAGTCCTGCGTGCCGCCCTCCACCACGTCCTGCGCCTTGGCGCCCACGTCGGGCGCGATGCTGTACGTGGCGCCGCTGCGAATCACCTTCTTGAGGCTGCCCTGCAGTGTGGGCATGTCGATGGTGAGGAAGCTGAACGCCTTGCTGCCGCTCACGAGGTCGGGGGCGCCCGCGCACTCGAACCCTGTGTTGATGTAGTTCGCAACCACGGGGTTCACCAGCCCGCGCACCGGCACGTGCGTGTGCTCGTACACAACCAGGCTCGCCCCCGACTCCAGCGCTTGCTTGGTGGCGAACCACCCCATGTAGCTCGAGTCAATGTCCGCCCACAGCGCCTTGAGCGCCACCTACACGCCAGCAGCGCCGCCCCCGTTCTCCTGGATCCACCTCTGGAAGAGCAGCGCGTAATCTTGCTTCGCCTCCGCAATCGTCGTCGTTGTGCCGTCCAACATGATGATCTCTGCGCTCTGATTGGCTCCGTAGACGCGCGCGCAGGCGTCGAGCACCTGAGGGGCGACGGAGTAGTTGCCCGCCTGGATGCCGAGCAGGATGGGCAGCAAGTAGCTGCTCGTCTTGCTCCTGCTGGGGGTCCCCAGATTCTGCAGGTCGCCCACTGTGGTGTTGGGTGGCAGGTTGGCGGCCCAGTATGAGGAGATGACCCGAGAGACGAAGTGCCCCGGGGGCAGTGGCGCCCACTTGCTGCTCTTGTCCGGCGCGTTGAAGATGGCCACCTCGTGCCCGTGCGCGATCACCACGCGCGTGTCGCCGCCCGGGCTGTAGCTCCGCGCAGCGAACTTGACGTAGTGTCCCCCCGGGGACCTGATCTGCGCCACGTCAGCGGCGGTGAGGTGCATGTCGTGGTTGCCAGGGATGAAGGTGACGCGCCCCCCCAGCGCGTCCAGCACGCGCGAGAAGCCGCCCGTGGGCCCGAAGAGGTTGGGGTTGGCAGCGAGGATGGTGGCGAGGGAGGGGGGTCGCACGTGGAAGGGGTAGTACCAGAACTCGAAGATGTCGCCCGCCAGCACCAGCTCTGCGATGGACTCGTTGTGCGCCACCACGTCGTCCAGGATGGCCAGCAGGTGCCCCTCGTGCACGTGCGACTTGTAGTTCTGCCTGGGGCTGCCGTCGCGGATGTGGATGTCGCTCAGCACCACCACCAGCTTCTTCAAACCCCACGCCGCCGCTGCCACTGGCGCAACCTGCACCATCTCCCTCCGCGCGGCGTCCTGACCCGCCGTAGCGCCGCCGCTAGAGGACAGGGCCTGCAAGGCACCGGCGAGCAAGGGGGGAAAACGATAAGGAGACCTTGCAGCGAGACTAGTAGTCGATGTCTGTGCGTGATCATGTCTGACATATGCAGCAGACAAAAGACATCCCTTACAACGAAGCAGCAAACGGTGTTCATATATCATAGTGTCTGACACTACTATTTAAGGGCTGTAGTAAAGGCTCACCTGGGCAAGCGGGCTGCGCAGTGCGGCTCTCTTGGCGGAAGCCGCGGCGAGGGAGACGAGCAGCAGCACGGCGGCTGCAGCGGCGAACTTCATGGCGGCCGGACGCGCTGCCTGGGAGCACAACGACGTGTGGGGGTGAATCTCTGAGTGGAATTGCGCGATTCTCTCATCGGTGAGGGGCTTCCAGTTCTTTATAGCACAGTCACTGTGCTAACTCCCTGCGCCCACGTGGTCAAGCGTTTTGACACTAGTGTGGTCTGTGTGCCATGGGCCCAGTCCGTGCTGGATGGCCTACGCTAACATCAAAACGATTGACTTGACGCGTCGCGTCCACCACCAATCGCGCTGCAGAGCTTTTCGGGTCGAGCATTTTGTTGTTTGGCGCTAACTGCTAACTAGTAGTTGCTGCGTGAACCTGCGTTTTATCGAGCTCACCGATGCATATCGTGAAACCGTGACTACCAACCTCATATTTGAAAACACAAACTCAAACCTCCCAAACCAGCATCTCAGCCCCCAACAACACGTCACCGCACAGCATCTAGAAACACCACCACCCCACCCCCCACTCTTCCGCCCCAACTTTCAGAACCTATCTCGAAATGGTCTACACCTGATGCTCATTAGTCACACGCAAAGTTTGCCTTATCAAAGGGTCTGAAGCACATGCTTTTCGCCTACTCCAAAATTCGCCACGGGGAAAAAAGGGATTGTATTGGGTCTCTTGGTAAAATTCAATATATCACAAAGGGACGGATGACAGCGCGATAAGCTGTGTGATCAGCGCGATAAGAAGGGGGCTTGTACCATGCATTCAACTACCCATGCTGAATTACAATAGGGACAAGCAAAGTGAATGGGCAGAGCGAATTCGCGTGCATTGGCTGACCGTCATGTGTACTACCTACCGTATAGTCTCCTCTTACCCGTTTAATGAATAAACCATGGATTTGCTTATGGACATTCCTGCCATTTTCTCTTTGTTTGGTGGATGAAATATACATTATACAAGATCCGCAGTCGTAATTGATTGGGAGGAAGGGGGAAAATGTTCAGACGGCCGTTCATTCCTCCCTTTTGCCCCCCCTTTCCTCTGCTCGTATTTATTATTACCTGCCCGACCTATCGCCAGAATCTCCTGTTCTGGGAAGCAAACGTGAAGCGTTTTTACGCTAGCGTCAAGGACGATTTGACGCGTCAATTCTACCATAATAGTAGTGCACACTTGGCGTAGGAGTTATCTGGCTGGTGCATGGGATTGCTTGCAACCTGTCCACGACTTGACTCGCCTAGCTCACATTGCCTCTCACCAGCCAACCAGTGTGCGCAAGCCGATTCGAGTGCGAGTCACGGAATCGCCGAAAGCAATCGTGTTGAGATAGTAAGCACAAGTAGGAGCCTTAGCTAGGTAAGCCCTAGCTAGGCAAGAGAGAATAAGCAGAGGAGGGTGTTCACTAGAAAGCAGCAGGATACATATAGGAAACCCTAAGGGGTTGTACTCGCTATAGAGTACCCCACTGCAGGCTAGAGAACAATAACATTCTGACACACCCCCATAGTCAAAGTGGGGTATAATCAGCAGAGCAAGTAGTCCTAGAGCAGGTATAGCAGGAGTTCACAATAGTGAGCAAAGCTAGAGTTAATCACAGCGGGCAAGTGAGGAGGAGGAGGAACTGTGGAGGGAGAGAAGATGCGAGGCAACGACTGAAGCTGCACACGGGCACAGGAGCGGCTGACTCAGTGGCTACCGAAGCAAGGGCGACGGACTACTGGAGTGACAGGCTCCGCGGCTATAGACGAGCGGCAGGAACAACGGACCCACTGGCGACTGGTGCAACAGGCTCACTGGCTACCGAAGCAAGGACGACGGACTACAGTCGCTGCAGGCGACACGACAGCTACGTTCACACAACCTCCTCCAACTGCCCCACACCCTCGACACAAACCCCTTGCTGAACCCTAGCTCCACTCCCACGGCACCCCACTTAAACCCTGAACCCTAGGCTCCCACACACCCACCCCCCTCAGCGGCAGCTGCAGCAGTGGGAGACCAGGGAGGAGGAGGAGCAAGGGGAGTAACACACAACCGCCACCCCCACACTCCTCACCCCCAAACCCTAATTCAGGAGAACGGGCAGCAGCAGGGGTGGGGCACCGTCAGAAGCACGGGGGACAGCGAACAGCTCAGGGACAGAGAGGAACGGGCCGCCCACGGGCCTGGCACAGCCCGACGAACCGCGCGCAGGCGGCCCGAGCCGCGCGCGGGCCTGGCGCAGCCCGTACGGGCCGCGCGCGGGCCTGGCGCAGCCCGTACGGGCCGCGCGCGGGCCGGGCGCAGCCCGTACGGGCCGCGCTCGGGGCTAGCGCAGCCCGCGCTGGCCAGGACGGGCGACGGGGGACGACGGGCTGGTCCCCGTCGCCCGTCGAAGCGCCCCCCGGGGGCGACGCGCGGACCGACGGGGCAGAAGGCCGCCGCGCGCCTCGGGGCGCACGGCGGGCAGAGAACCGCCGCACGCCCCGGGGCGCACGGCGGGCAGAAAACCGCCGCGCGCCTCGGGGCGCACGGCGGGCAGAAAACCGCCGCACGCTCCGAGCGCGCGGCGGGAAGAGAAATCCGTCGCACGCCACGGGGCGTGCAACATACAGAGTAGCAGCGGAAGCAGTTAGGTGGGCCCACATGCCAGGAGCGTAGATGCTCTGATACCATGTTGAGATAGTAAGCACAAGTAGGAGCCTTAGCTAGGTAAGCCCTAGCTAGGCAAGAGAGAATAAGCAAAGGAGGGTGTTCACTAGAAAGCAGCAGGATACATATAGGAAACCCTAAGGGGTTGTACTCGCTATAGAGTACCCCACTGCAGGCTAGAGAACAATAACATTCTGACAAATCGACGCTGCCGCAACACCCACAACGCTTTTCGTTGGTCTTACAGGTCGCCGCCCAATCAGCTGACATCGTCACACCAAGTTTTGCACTCCGGTCCCTGGCTTAAAACCCCCCTCTCTCAATTCCCCCCTAACCCCCCCTTCTTCCCTCTAAGGTACGAGGTGTTCCAGTGTGCGCCAAGCGCAGTGTCAAACTATATTTTCTATAGTTTCATATGTGTTAGTCTATGTGTCACATGTTTCTGCTAGCACTGTTAGGGTTTGGTATATCTATGCTCGTATATCTCATTTCTAGTCATTAATTCTCTCGTTCAGTTCTTGACAAGGTATCGAGCGTAGTTCGATCCGATGGGCACACCGCCTCACGCCCTGCCCTAGCCCATTCGCACCCCGTCGCCCGTAACGCCCCGTCATCCCGTTGCCCGTTTGCACCCCGTCCCCCGTAGCGCCTCGTCCTTGTCAAACTTATATGCTATAGTCTGTTTAGGCTGTAGTGGGGTAGTTCATATAGGGTACAACACTTTTAGGTTTCCTACTTGTACCCACCTGCTTGCTAGTTCAGTCCATTCCTTCCTTCACTATTCTGACATGGTATTCTGAGCAGGTTCCCTAGTGGGAACGTTTTTTTAGGGCCCACCACGATTTTTTTTCCTGCCCTGCCCGAAGCGCGCCTCGCGCCTGCCTCACCCGCGCCGTCGCGCGCCCTGCCCTAGTACGGCCCGTCGCGGCCCTGCCTTCGCTGGCCCGTCGCGGCCCTGCCTTCGCCGCCCGTCTTCTGGCCACTGCTCTCACTGACCCTTCGTTTGAGTCCACTGCTGCGTCTGCTCTCGTCGCTGAGCTTGTTGACTTTGCTGCCGCCTGTCGTCTAGACTACGCCACAAGTCTTGCTGCTGAGTCTGAGTCTGCGTCTGTCTGTCCTCCGTCCGTCGGGGGTGAGTGTGCTCTTGGCACGGACGTCCTTGAGGACAGACAGGAGGAGTTTGAGTGCTTTGCCGCTGCTGTACCTCATCTCGTGTCCATGCTGCTTGCCCCTGAAGGAGACCCGGATGCACCAGACATCCCGACCCCGCGCTCTTACGCAGAGGCGATAGAGGGTCCCTACTCCTCTCAGTGGCAGACAGCCATGGACACAAAGATGGCTTCCTGGAAGTCCACAGGCACCTACGTCGACGAGGTTCCCCCACCTGGGGCGAACATTGTCAGTGGCATGTGGATCTTCAGGGTGAAGCGGCCGCCGGGTTCTCCGCCTGTCTTCAAGGCGCGTTACGTTGCACGAGGCTTCAGACAGCAACAGGGAGTTGACTTCTTCCAGACCTTCTCCCCTACCCCGAAGATGACCACTCTTCGTGTGCTGCTGCACGTTGCCGCTCAGCGTGACTACGAGTTACACTCGCTTGACTTCAGCACAGCCTTCCTACAGGGCAGCCTGCACGAGGAGATCTGGCTGCGCCGCCCACCTGGCTTCACTGGGTCGTTTCCTGCTGGTACCTAGTGGAGTCTCCGGCGGCCAGTCTACGGTCTCGGCCAAGCACCCCGTGAGTGGCACGACATACTGAGGACGACTCTTGCTGCTCTTGGTTTTGCTCCTTCCACTTCTGACCCGTCGCTGTTTCTACGCACCGACACCACTCTGCCGACGTTCTACGTTCTCGAGTACGTAGACGACTTGGTCTTTGCTACTGCTGACACTGAGGCACTCGCCCACGTGAAGTCGGAGCTGCAGAAGAGACACACGTGCACAGACCTGGGTGAGCTGACAAGCTATCTTGGCTTGCGGATCACCCGGGACAGATCACAGCGCACCATTACCTTGACTCAGTCACACATGGTGCAGCAGGTCCTTCAGCGCTTCGGCTTCACGTACTCCTCGCCACAGTCCACTCCTCTGCCTACTAGTCACTCGCTCTCAGCTCCACCTTCGGACGAGTCCGTAGAGCCGAGTGGCCCGTACCCAAAGCTTGTGGGCTGCCTCATGTACCTGATGACGTGCACTCGACCCGACCTCGCGTACCCTCACAGCCTTCTGGCACGCTACGTGGCTCCCGGCAGGCACCGAAAGGTGCACTGGGATGCTGCGATGAGGGTACTGCGTTACTTGTGCAGTACGTCGGGCATGGGGCTAGTGCTTGGAGGACGGGCTCGAGTTGTCCTTACTGGTCACGCAGACGCTTCCTGGTCTGACGACTTGACTACGCAGCGGTCGTCACAGG